GAAACAAGAAAAGAAATTTTGGTAGAACATTCATTTTTACCACTGAAATTCTCCCCAACAATGATAATTGTAGTTTTTTCCACTCATCTAAATCTTTTTTAACCTTTAACCATAAAGACTCATAATTATTCTTATACAATTTAACATTAGAGGCTGTTATATAAACTCCTAAATATTTCACTTTTTTCACCATTTCATAACCTGTATGCAAAACTAATGCCTCCTTATCATCCTTAGACATATTTTTTCGACAATATTTTTGTCTTATTACTATTTACCTTGAATCCAGAAACCTTTCCATATTGACCTATAATTTCCATCATATCAATTACTGACTCTAGCGGCTGAGTTAATGTTAACACCAAATCATCCGCAAAAGCTCTTAGCCTATAATCTATTTTATTAACCTTAATTCCCTATATAATGGAGGACTCCCGGATTCTAATTAACAAAATCTCCATTGTTAAAACAAATAGTAGTAGTGATAGTGGACATCCTTGTCTGGTTCCCTTTCCAATTTTAAACAATTCAGTTAATCCCCCATTAACTATAATCTGAGCTGTCAGCTCAGAAAAGGGAATCTTTCTTGAGACCAGTACAGGTAGTCCTCTACTTACGACCCAAAATTGAGCCCAACATTTCTGTTGCTAAGGGAGACATTTGTTAAATGAGTTTTGCCCCATTTTATGAACTTTCTTGTTAAGTAAATCACTACAGTTGTTAAGTTAGTAACATGGTTAAGTGAATCTGGCTTCCCCATCGACTTTGCATTTCAGAAGGTTGCAGAAGGTCATCATAGGACCCCGGGACACTGCAACCGTCATAAATATGAGTCAATTGCCAAGCATCCAAATTTTGATCACGTGACTATGGTCATATGTGTGAAAATGGTCATAAGTCACTTTTTTCAGTGCTGTTGTAACTTCGAACAGTCACTAAACAAACAGTTGTAAGTCAAGGACTACCTGTATAGCTTTTGTTTTCAGTTCAAATTACAATTCCAGAAGAAGATTTTTTTTGTGTTTGTTTTGTTTTGTTTCTTGGGCATCAATCGTGTAAATGAATTAAATTCCCTGGTACATCTACTTTATAATGTTAATCATCCACATAGTGGTTGCTGGTTGAATAGTTAAAAACTTGCATATTAAATGAAAACATTCATTTGGGAGATGGTGTTTGAAATGTGGCTTAAGATGTATAAAAATTCTTGATTCTACTAAAATGGCTTCAGGACTAATATATAGGTTGGAATGGGGATTCTAGATGTAGAAAGTTGTAGCACACTCCTTTTGTCAACCAACTCTTCAAGTTTTCCTTTTAAAAAAATATATTCTATAAATTTTTTACAATAACATTTTTTAGTGTTATTAAACAGTGTGTTGTCTGGGTTCATATGTTTAAAAACAATAATAATTAATTTCTATAATTCCGTAATCAATATGTTAATTAGTGATATATTTCTTTGATCTTTTCTTCATCCAATGGTATTCTTCTTTTGTCAACATTTAGCAAGTATCATTCTTAAAATTCAATACATATAAAGTTAAATATAAACCTTTTTCTTGTATTTATACAAATAATAGTAACATCAGCACATAGCATCTTTTTATCAGTTTATATTTCAATTGTATTTATAATAATCATCTTATTAAATCACTATATGTCCTGTTTTCAAAATTCTTATTTAAACTTAGTTTCCCCTCTGTATTCAAACCATTCTTATCAGTCGTAGTTTTCTCAAAGTTGTAACCTTTAAATATCCAACCTTTTCATTCATGTACACCATCCCAATATTTTCACATTTCATATATTATAAAAATTACTATACTACTTGTATGTCTTATGTCTCTTACTATAAGACCCCTTTATATCCATAATTTATCTATTATTTTAACCATATTCAAACAAGTATTTAATCATATAGTACTCCCTCAGGTAGATCGCATCAAATCTCTCAAATCTGATTCTAGCCTTCTTCTTTAGCCAAGTAGTTTTCCAAATTAGTGTGTTCAACTTGCCCAGGGGTTTTTCCTGTATTTTGTATTTATTTATTTATTTATTTTATTTATTAAATTTATATACCGCCCTATCTTTCTTACGGGACTCAGGGCGGTGAACAGGCGATACTAAAAACCACAATAATAAATAAATAGTTTCTGTTCTAAAAAATGATTGTCCTCGTTGCCCTATAGTCTATTTTGTTAGATTTTCTTTCCAATCTTCAAGTTGATTTTGAAGTCCTGAAATATAAGATATCTTTTCCATTTCCATTTTTATGGTAAAACCTTGCAAGCTTTCTTTTGTTTGTATTAGTTTATAGTTCTGTTCATCTGTAGTTTTCCTTTTTGGGTCGCTGACCTCTGATTTATGTTCTGTTATCTGGTCTGTTTGTTCATTCTTTTTCATCATTTTCTGAGAATTTTTTATTGTAAGTTTAAGTTGGAAATGTGCTCGTTTATGCCCTCAAAGTTGTTTTTAATCTCATCATGATTTGAAATTATTGTCATTTGAATCTGTCGCAGCATTGCATACATTTCCTCCTGGAAAGTATTTGCCTTGTCTTGAATTATTGCTTCTGCAGATCTCTGATGTTCCAGGCTGGGGCCTTCAAAAGAGGATATTAGATGTAGTTTCCTGCCACTTTTTGATAGGTGTGCAGCATCCATTTTATCTTCCCCTTCCAGATGTTCTTTCACCAGTACCATAGTATCTGTATTTCGCCTTTTAAACCAGCCAATCTTAAAGTCCAAACGACCAAATTTTATATAGTTCTTATCTTTATATATGTTTTTTTATAATCCAATGTGTTTCCAATTACCAAAGCACCACTGAAGGCAGTATTTTATAACATTTCTTGTGTTCAGGGGTCTTACAATTTATCTTCCAGCCAAGATTGCAGTCCAAAATGTTTGACTATCCAGTAAAATTCCCCCCTAGAAGATTAGCCAATAGTTAAAGTTTTTCTTTTTCTGCAGACAGTTCTTAAGCTTAAAGATCATAGCTCAGTAAATATTTATAATCGCAGAAGGTCAGCGGTTTTTGAAGCAAGTATAGTTCTCAATTTGTAATATATGGCCCAGTATGTTTACTTTTTTTGTTCTCAGCTGTTTTCTATTTGGCTGAAACTTATTAAAGTTCAAGGGAACAGATTATTTTTTGTTTCTGGGTGTCTTGCCAATTTCTGAGTCAGTGTTGCTGTTGTTTTATACTCTAATTCTCCACTAGATGTCAGTAGTTATTTATTTTCCAATTTCTCAAACAAAGAATTGGGTTTTTTTTATTTTATCAAAACTCTTTCAGATGTAAAATCTTAATGGTTATTCTTAATTTTCAGATTTATCCACAGTGTAACAGTATTAATTTCATTTCAGTGCATTTCTTTCCCCCTTGAAGTTAATTCGCCGCTTCCGTCTATGGAAGGGTGGGGGTATATTCTCCTCCCTTCTCACTTTCGGAGGATTTCTTGCTTTGGGGATTTTTCCCAGGGAGTCAATTACAAAATGGAAGAGAGAAGATCAATGTTCTCACCCAGTTCCAAGCAAGCTGTTCACTGTTGCTCTAGTTCGTGCTCTTGGACTTTGGCTGCTGGTAGCTTGGGCTAAACACTGATGTGCAGCTAGCCTTTCTCCTGTCGGGTTGGAGGGCTTCCCCCAGATCGAACGGATCGACCGCTGTCATTCCGTGATCATTGGGGTGCCCCTCCGTCGCCTTTCCGGGGCGACTTTAAACCCATTTAAGATTCCCTGACAGAGTGAAACCAGCCGTGGGGTATAGAGCCCCGCAATCATTTGGCTGTGTTGCTATGGGGCGGAACCGGAAGTCCCAACTCTTCAAATTTTCCTCTCCTGTATCTCCTAATTGATAATTCTACCCTGAATTAGATTTTCTTTAATATATTTTGTTTTGTAATACTGGTGTTTATGTCAGCACTTCTTTTTGATTGCAGGAGATTATTCATTTATAGCAGACATGTCAAACACAAGGCCCGGGGGCCGGATGCGGCCCACGAAGTGGTTTCATGTGGTCCACGAAGCCATCCTGGAAACAGAGAGGGAACGGCCCCCGCTGCCTTGGCCCTGGCCCAGGCCGGCCGGGAGCCAATGTACAATTTTGTGGTGGTCATCTATGCTGAAACGCATTCAGTCTTAGCTCCACAAGGCCGTCTGGAAACAGCAAGGAACCAGCCCCTGCCGCGTCAGCCCCACCCCTGGGTGCATGCTGGGGAGGTGTCACCCTTTGTGAGGAATGAAGAAATGGACCATGCCTTGGTGCTTGCCCCAGTCCCACCTCCTTCTGCCAGAGACCCTCAGATCTGTCCCACTCCTGCCCAGGCCCCCACAGGCACCTTTGACGCAAACAATGTAGAGCTGGCCATGCCCATCCAGTAGGCCACACCCACTCCATCCACGCCCACCCAGTAGGCTGCACCCACCCTGGCCACACCCACCCGGCCCCCTGAGGGCAACCGCAATGCTGATGTGGCCCTCAGTGAAATTGAGTTTGACACCCCTGATTTATAGGCAATTTAGTCATCATTATAAATGTAACAGCAGTAAATTCCAAGGTCCATTGACACTGAAACCAGCCAATGGCAGTCATGAGAGGAGTTGCAATTGCGTATATGGCCAGTGATAATAGAAAAAAAAGGCAACGCCAAAAAAGTTTAGAGGAAGAACACAGGAAATTGGAAATACAACTACAAATAAAACCGCAAAGTCGGGATCTGAAACAACAATTAGGTCTAATTAAACACAAACTGAACATTATGGAGAAGGAGGAACTGGCGCAAAAAATAAAAGAGGCCAGACAAAAAATTTTTGAACACGCGAACAAACCTGGGCAATGGCTGGCTTACAGACTAAAGAAACGAAAAGACAAAAGATGGATTAGTAAATTATGTAATGAAGAGGGGGAGATGATCTATCAGAGTGAAGGAAAGATCCTTACTACCATTAACTACTTTACATTAATAACCTTGAAACTGTTTTACTGTCTTCTAGGTCCCACAAACCAGCGCCAGGTTCAAAATGGACCCTCTCCGGATGAAATTGAAATTCAGAGAAGGTAAGGAAAAATCTACAGAAATATTCAGATTTTCATTTTAAAGATAAACAGAAGCCAAATTGCTGCCTATTATTTAAAGCTACATATTGATTCAGTCGTTAGGGAATTCATTTAGAAAATATACATATTTGCCCTTCATTCGTGAAAAAATATATAGTTGCACAGTTCAATTGTTGAAGCCAATGGTAAAATGATAGTTAGAATAAGCCATAAAATCATCGTCCAATATACTGTTTAGTGTTAGGTTTGCTAGAGCATTTATGGCAGGTTACTATCCAACTTCTAATGGAAGATTTCAAGCCCATATCTGCTCTTCTCACTAAGGCCCTCACAGCCTGCAGGTACTGGGATAGCACCTTGACTGCATTTCTTGTTAACCTTGGGTTTTGATGTACAGCTGAATATCATCAAATATCAACCTATGTTGACTGATGACCTCTCTCAGGAGCTGCATATAGATGATAAATAGGAAGAGTAAAACTCGGATACCCACAGCAGAGGGCCTTCGGACTTTAGATCTCCACCAGTATCACTATCAACTGAAATTTTCCCCTAAGGAAGAAGAAGCAAAATTGTGTTCCCTCACCCACAAAGGCAAACTGCAAGAAGCCAATGAACTGCTATGTAGCAAGTAGCTTCAGAGCCTCATAGTTCTGGGGCTGCTTACCATCTTATAGGCAAAGTGCAGATTGGCCAAAGAGCAGATATGGGAGGGGGGATAAGCAGTTGAAGGGGAGGCAATCTCTGTCCTTGGAAGAACCAAGGCATGGGGCTTGGAGAGACCAAGCCCAGGATTTCTTGGATTGGAGGGGGTTCCCTCGGTTAGCAACTGATAGAATTTCATTAACCATGGTAATGGGGAATGCCAGGACCGCTGTCACTAAGTGATGTCGTCATATGACATTGCACTTTATGCTGCATTTCTTAGCAATGGAAATTCTGGTCCCAGTTACTGCCATAACTCAAGGACTATCTGTATCACTTTCTATCCTTGAGTGAAGAATAGGATGATTTACTGTTAATAGAACTTGAGAAGTAGGCCATAAACCTCTGAGGGACAAATGAGATTGCACATAAGATATCTTGATGTGCTAAAATGTGATTTGAACGAGCCCAGCACCAAACTCCTTATGGAAGTATTTGAGAAAAAGTTTTCTATGCTACACAACACAAGAAAAGAGATGAATGAAAAATCTGATAAAAAAATTTGAATTATTAGTATCAGATTTAAAACAAACTAAAGATGTTAAAAATATCCAGATTAGATGAGATGAGACAGACACAAGGTTAGATCTTCTTAACCAACATTTACTGTTATTGGATTTGAAACAAAAGGACACTTTTCTGCACCTCAGGGGAATTCCTGAACAAATTTGCAACTTAGGTGATGTAATTGATAATGCCAAACCAGTCTTATTTCATTCTTTGATAAAGTGACTAAACTAGTAGACCAGCAAAATGCTGTGGACATAGTGTACTTAGATTTCAGTAAGGCATTTGATAAAGTAGACCACAACCTACTCCTTGGTAAGCTAGAAAAAGATGGAATAGACAACATCAGCACCAGATTGATCTGTAACTGACTGGCAAACCGTACTCAGCAAGTAGTCCTCAATAGTACTACATCTACATGGAAAGAAGAAAGCAGTGGGGTACCACAAGGTTCCGTCTTAGGCCCAGGACTCTTCAATATCTTCATAAATGACTTAGATGAGCGAATTGAAGGGGAACTCATCAAATTTGCAGATGACACCAAACTGGCCGGAGTAGCCAACACCCCAGAAGACAAACTCAGGGTCCAAAAAGATTTTGACAAACTTGAACAATGGGCCCTATCCAACAAAATGAATTTCAGTGTGGAGAAAAGCAAAGTTTTACATTTAGGCAGGAAAAACCAAAGGTACAAATACAGATTGGGAGAGACCTAGCTTAAAAACAGTAACTGTGAGAAGGACCTTGGTGTTGTAGTGGACAATCACTTGACTATGAGCCAGCAGTGTGCAGCCACAATCAAAAAAGCTAATACAATCCTGAGTTGTATAAACAGAGGCGTAGAATCAAGATTATGCGAAGTATTAGTACCACTTCATAAAACCCTAGTAAGACCACTCCTGGAATACTGCAGCCAATTTTGGTCACCATATCACAAAAAAGATGTTGAGAGTTTGGAAAAAATTTAGAGAAGAGCAACTAAGATGATTAAAGGCCTGGAGACTAAAACATATGAAGAATGGCTGAAGGATTTGGGTTTGGCTAGTCTAAAGAAAAGAAGACATAGGAGAGACATGATAGCAGTATCTGAGGGGCTGCCACCAAGAAGAGGAGGTCACGTTATTCACCAAAGCACCAGAAGGCAGGACAAAAAAAAATGGTTGGAAACTGATCAAAGAGAGAAGCAACCTGGAATTAAGGAGAAACTTCCTGACAATGAGGACAATTAACCAATGGAACAGCTTGCCTTCAAAAATTTTGGGTGCTCTATCACTGGAGGTTTTAAGAAGAGGCTAGACAGTCACTTGTCTGAGATGGTATAGGTCCTCCTGCTTGAGCAGGGAGCTGGACTAGAAGACTTCCAAGGTCCCTTCCAGCTCTATTCTATTCTAAATTGTAACAGAAATGACTAAATGATGAGAAAGTAGACTTCTCTAAAGAAATAGACAACATTTACAGAATAAACTCAGCATATGTGGCCAGAAGACAAATGCCAAGAGATGCTGTGATCCAATTTATAAGAAAATCTATTAAAGAGCAAGTAATTCAGAAACATTACCATCAAGATTTAACATTTCTGGAAAAGAGGTGCAAATATTCAGAGAAATTCCAATTACAACATTAAGGAAATTCAAAGAATATTTTTCTCTGACAGATTTTCTGAAACAAAATAATATTCCCTTTCGCTGGGATAAGCTAGAAGGGGTTATCTTAACTTTTAGAAATCAACAATATAGACTAAATTCAGTCCCTAAAGCACAAGACTTTTTGGGAAAACATGGAATGGAACTGCACTATTTTTCAAAAGATAAAGATGGGAAAGAAAAAGATAAAAAGTGGTCTGACGCTTCTCAAGGACAGGCTGTGGAGATGGGAGCCATATTAGATTCAGAGTTATTCCAGAAAACAATCATTTCTTTCTCCCACTAGTTCAAAATGCGTGCAGACTTGACCTATTCTGTCTTGATTATTTGCAGAACTATCTGAGCACCAATACATTAAAAGAGCAGTTGTATTTCTATATTTGCAGGTCTAGATCATGGCTTTTCAACCAGTGGTACGGGTACCACCTGTGGTACATTGGCACCTGGCAGGTGGTACACGACCATCCTAGAAAAGTGGTAGCAGGGGAGGGGAATGAGCTGAACTGGTGGCAGCACCGCACAAGCCTGAGCGAGAGATGGCTGGAGCTGCAGGGCTGTCAGGGGTCAGTGGAAGCGCCAGGATCAGGGCCAGGCTCCAGCTAGAGCTCGGCACTGATCCTGGTGCTTCTGCTGAGCCCTGAAGAAGCACCTAATAGCTGGAAAGCAGCACTGATCCTGGCGCTTCTGCTGAGCCCAGAAGAAGCACTGATCAGCTGGAATGTTGCAGCATCTCCAGGGTCTTGTGATTTACATTCAGATGCTTGGCAACTGATTCATATTTATGACGGTCACAGTGCCCAGGATCATGTGAAGTGACCAAAACCTGCTGCAACCACCCAGCAGACGGGGGGGGGGATAAAAAACAAACACTCCCCCCACCTCACCCTTGCTGCCAATCCTCAAAAGAAATGCTCACAACAATGAAAACCTCGGACAGGAGGAAGAGCGCCGCCGGGCGGGCAGGCAGGTGTCTTGCTCGGCTATGGCTTGGGGGGCACTTTTTTCAGTGCCATTGTAACTTCGAACAGTCACTAAGCTGTTGTAAGTAGAGGTAGAGGACTACCTGTACTTTATCACTTTTTTCCCTTTTTTTGTCATCAAGTTTTTGATACCTTGCTAGGCGACTGGTGGTACTCAGATGTTGCCATATCCTAAAAGTGGTACCATGGGTGAAAAGGTTGAAAAGCCCTGGTCTAGAGTTCTCAAAGCTTCTCAGCAAATTATTGCTTGCCCTTTTTGGACAATAGCTGAGCACATAGAACTGCCATCTAATCAGTGCTCATTTTCTGTCCTTTCAAACCAAATTGTAACTGAGCATTCTCCAAATTTCACCCAATTCTATGCCATACTAATAATAAATATGTAATAATAATCCTCTCTCCTTCATAAACAAAATAAAAATAAATTGCTGCTTTATCTCATCTCTTACACTTGTGGGTTGGGTGGGGGTTTTTTGGCATTTCTATTTGTGGACATTTTTCTAGGATTTGGGGGGAGGGGAGAAGGAATTCCAGAAGGTGTGGGGAGGGAGTGTGAAATATAACCAAGTGTATAAAGAATATTCAACAGTTTCCCACCTGGCGTGGTGGCAGACTTCCATTCCTTCCTATCCTCTTAACCATGCCAGCACACTACTACAATAGGAGCCAGGCGATTGGCACAAGGCAAAAGAATAATTCCATCTGGTGAGAACATACACATAGTGCAAATGTACACACACATACTTTCTGAAGTTACTTTTGCTGGGCAGAGATGATACTTTGTCTTCCACTGGCTAAAACAGTCCTTGCACAAATATAATTATTATTTCATAGCCCGATGTGATGTGTGAGAGGGATCTCGGAGTCCTAGTGGACCATCATTTAAATATGAGCCAGCAGTGTGCTGCAGCTGCCAAAAAAGCCAACTCAGTGCTAGGCTACATTAACAGAGGGACAGAATCAAGATCGTGTGAAGTGTTAATACTTCTTTACGATGCCTTAATAAGGCCACACTTGTAATGCTGCCTCCAGTTTTGGTCACCACGATGTAAAAAAGATGTTGAGACTCTAGAGTACAGAGAAGAGCAACAAAGATGATTAGGGGACTAGAGGCATATATAAGGATCATATAAGGACATATAAGGAACAGTTGCTGGAATTGGGTATGTCTAGTTTAATGAAAATAAGACACAGCAAACTATTAGAAATCCTGAAACAAGGGGGACTAGATGACAAAGACATCCAAATAATAAAGAATCTGTATTGGCATCAGGTAGCAAATGTGAGACTAGGCCAAAAATACTCAGCTGATGCAGAAATAAGAAGAGGGGTCAGACAGGGATGTATTCTGTCTCCACTGTTGTTCAATATCTACTCTG